GGGGCAGGGGTGGCACATTAATTCCGGGTAATATACCTCCGGAACTGTCTTGAGCTTCAGTCTCCACCAAAAATGCCGATGAAGTGATGGCTAATATCATGATAACTGCCAACAATTTCATAATTAAAACTATTTGAGGTATAAGAATAAAACAAAAGTAATAATAATTTTTAGATATAATTCATGTGTTTATTGTAGCCCTTTATATACTTTGTAAAATGGTTATCATTTGGAAATTTTTTGTGTTTTTGTGTTATTAATAGATTTAAATTGCGATATAATAGTAATAAATTAAAATATGCCATGTATGGAAAATCATCAGGTCAAATGATGATTTCATAAAATATTATAACAATTTTTGTTTTACATGTGAAATATAAATAAAATTAAATAGTAATGGTTTGTACTTATATTAATATTTATAGATTAATAGGTTTTATGACTTAGTGATATTTTCCAACAGTAAATGTAGTAAATTATTATGAATTAATTTGTATACTACTTCTATATGTCATAGTTATAGACATGTTTGAATCATTTTTTACGGTATATTATGGCATTATCTTAATCTAATTATATGTAGTAATACAGTACTGTAATAGTAAGTCATTCACATAAAAATGTTTAAATATTTATGTTTTGTGGAAATAATCCATGATTTTCTATAATTCAGTACTTATGTAATAGTTTTCAATAAAATTTGTTTATTTGATTTATAAATGCGACAAAATTATTACTAAAATTTAAACACTAAAAAATTAAATATAATTTCATATGAATATTTAAAAATATATATTTAATTCCTAAAATTATTGAAATCTTAATTTTTAATTTATAAATTATCAAAATAGTCGGTAATCTTTGGGAAACATAGCATTAGACATGCGATTTAAATGATTTTCGGCGTGAGTCCACTCCATGTTTTTCAAAACCTGGATCAGTTAGGATAAAGACATAACTGTAAAAATTAACATAAACAAATTAAAATGTATTAGATACCTCGATCATTTTACGATACACAGAAATTGTTGGTAGCGAATCAAATCGTTTTGAATATATTTTGAGTGCCCGGCCGTAATGCCGGTGCAATAAGGCATGCCTTTCCGTAAACGCATTAACCTTATAATCGTAGGAATCGGCCACTAGTTTGCAAATATCTTTATACACATCATTCACATCCGATAGTGTAAACTGGGGAACACCTTCCACTGTAGTAAGAGCATTAGTATCAACAGCACCAGTATCATCACCACTGAACACAGGTATGTCTCCACTTGTAGTCACTAGAGGTTTGGTTTGTGCTTCGATGAGGTCACAAATGGCTATCCCTTTCTTCACCAGTACCTCCAAAACGGTAGACTTTTTTGTTTCCAAACTATTTGTTAAATAAAATAAAATCTTTTAAATCGTGACTAAAATTAAATTATTTTACGGACTCTTTGAGCGCCTGTTTGTTGTCATCATTTGACTCCTCTTTCTTTAGGATCACTTCAGATGTGATTAAATGATTAATTTGACACAAATCTAAGACATCGTTAGCCAAACATATTTGTCGAGACAAGTGTTGCGAGCGCTGGGAGTCTGAGTCCAGTGCTTGTATTCGCGCCAATAATAGCCTAACATTTGTTTTATCGGTTTCGAGTAATTCATTGAACAGGTCTTCCGACGCCTTTCCCTTCAGTCTTAAGAAACATTAAAACAATAATAAGAGAAAATATTTATTTCACAGAATATTCTGTTACTTCGAAACCCAACTAATCTTCAGATCACTGACAGCTGTATTGAACTGATCTTCGGGTGATATCTTAGACTCGTTTTCATCGACTTTTGTGACACTACTTCCAGACTTGACTATCGGTTGGCTATCGACAACATAATTGAAATCATAGTCTTCGGCAAAGAGTTCGTCAACTCTTCTGGTGATATCGTCTGCCAATTGAATCCGACCCGTGAAATACGCACCGTTACTAAAGTTGAGAGGCATGTCCGGCGGGTACGACACCATCCCTCGTATGAATATAGGGGTTGGAGTGTTGGGTTGGAGTGTCATCTTATATAATCGCGGGGTATTGTTATCGGTTATGGCATTTCGATATGTATTGTATAAATCCAGTGACTTGTTTACATTGTATTGTATGTGAATCGGGAGTTGACATAACTTTTCCCATTGGGAACTCATTGTATGTTTTAATTGCACTTTTATTATGTAATCACCTTTTTCTAGTCGTAACTATTATTTAGTTTGTTAAACAAATCATATGATAATCAATTTTAATTAATAATAATATTATCCTAATAATTAATAATATTATGATAATATTATCTTAGTCTAGTATAGTTACTGATGAGGGTAGGTCTACTCCGGCCCCAATAAATTGCTTGGTGTCCGAGTTGAATATCATCCACACCAATGATATATATTCAGGACCAAATGACAGGTCATATAGCAATGAATTAGAGCCAACTCTCAAGACCTGACCTTTAGCCTTTTATAATAAAATATTTAAACATTTTATTGTAAAAATTCAATTGTTTTAATACAAACCACTTTTAACTTATAAGTCAATAAAACTTCGTATAACTGTTGAGCGGGTGGTATGACATCGCGACTGTCCAGTGGCCGCACTTTATGCTCAATTGGCCTGGATTAATAAATATTTTAAATTATCTAGCACATAAATAATACCGATTATTACTATACATCAATGGCTGTACAAAACGGTTGAGCGTAACACCGGGTTTAACCGCCTCGACATTGAAATTACTCTGAATATCAATTCTGGCGATCATTTGACTAGAAAACTAAATTTATTAATTAATAAACAATTAAATGTTTTATTTTTCTACACAAACCATTGTGAATGAGTGGAGTGAGGGCTGGAGTCCGTGAAACTTAACTCTCAATTTAAGTCGCGTATCGTTTAAAGAGTCAAATGTCTGTCCGAAACACAGTTCCAGTGCTCGCGAGCCATACAAATGAAAGGCAAATGTGGTCTCAGTTTGAGCTTTCAATGCAAACCTTTCATTCATTTTATGAATTCTCAGTGTATTATGTGGTAAGACCTGTAATGCTTGCAAAGTACACATTATCTCATCCATAGGCTCGCAGTTCTTCACGCGAACCACCATTTGTGTGACATTTGCCGGGATATCAATGAATTGTCTCCAAATATAACCCGGTTTATAAATCTGAGTAATTTGTATGGTCCTCTTTTCTGGCATTCTTTGCGATTATATAATAAATCAATTTAAAATCAGTTAAAGTATCAAAAATTATACTTCATTATTACTTCATAGGCTTTATGACAGTAATGGGAATTTGAAATACCGGTCCCTTTTCCGCATATTTTACATCATAAGCTTTAATCTATTACCAAGTACATTAATTTTAATGTCAATTCATGATCATAATTATACCGTATTTCTAAATACCAGCGCAAAGTTGACACTATCCTCGTTGAGTGGTCGCGGGTCGACCCCAATAGTGATTTCCCTTTTATCGTAAGTCATGTGCAAAAACTCGGGACAAGTAATCCACTCGTTATCGCAAACCAGACTTAAATTCATTTCGAAATCTACTTTTCGTTTATTATCTAAAATAAGTTATATAACAAATAGTATAATAACTTATTAATAAGCTATTATACCTAGCTAATTTTAATAAGCTATTATACCTAGCTAATTTTAATAAGCTTAAAATTATTAATATATAAAATACCGATTTGTTTGTTATTCAAGAAAATGGGTTCAATTTTGATGACATGAAGGGATGGGTTCATTACATCGACGGCTTCCCGCAGATAAACACCTAATCCTTGTCCACAGGTTACGTGAAAACGGACGTCCATTTCAATCTCACCTTTATATTGAGTCAAATGTTCAAACGCTTTGTTCACCTATAAATTAAGCTTGGTATAACTAACAGAATAATGTAATATGATGTATGACCTGTATAAGTCCGTGTCCATGGGTGAGGGGCTCGTAGTTTTCAATTTTAAGGGCAGTGTTTTCAATAGCCCGACGCATACTATACGGCGAGTACTCGACATTTAGAGCCTTAAGACCCGACAATAAGAGACACAGACATCCGGCACAGTTTGGGGCACTCATTGACGTGCCATTTATTAACTGGGCTCTCGATAGTTCACACGTAGGTACCGATGTTATGGCCCCTCCCGGTGCGCATACCGTTACACCCAAATCACCCAATAATCTAAAATACATATTTTAATTAAAATGCTATTACATGAGACCATTTCAATAGAGCATACGTAGGACCCCGGCCTGTAAAGTGATACATGAGGCCTGGTATCTGATTATTCATGGAGTAGACGGATGACATCATATCGGGGGACAAATAGGCACCTACACTAATAAACGATGCCGAGTGTACAGTCCTTATCGTGTTTACGGTGGACAGGGAGGGCCCGGAGTTATTGGCAGATATGACAAACAAAATGCCGTATTTGTTGACCACTTCACTCATTAAGTCTAAAACAGGGCTGACATAAACCAAATTAACAAACACAACCTTGTTATAAATTAATATATTTTTATGGGATATGTATGTGAGGGGAACTGACCCATCAAAGTACTGTCTGGACACGTTATAACTCATATTAATGACATGACAGCCCGTTTCGATGGCTTTATTAAGTGCTCTGAAATACATAATCATTTGTATAACAAACTAATATTATATACATTTTTGGTGATAATATAGACCTCACAAGACTGGACCCATTGCAGCGATCATAACGTATATCATCGATACAGATGCTGACGATCTGAGCTCCCGGTGCCACACCATTCCTATCGGGATCATTGGGAAAGTTAGCCGCAGCTATACTGGCCACGTGTGTGCCATGAGATGCTGTCCAATGATGAGTAAATTAGTATTAACCCTGATAATTTAATAAGTGTATATATTACAGCTCACGGACACAATTTCCAATATATTTCCCTCGTTATGGATATTAATGCCATAGTTGAGCATATCTATGGACAAATATTTTAATTAGTATTTTTAATTTGCAAATAATTTACAAAAACAGTACCCACCTCTATCAGAAATTGTTCCGTACGTTAGGCACTCCCTGTAATTGCCTAACAGTGTACAGTCTTCTAGATTACCGGTGCCACTCGTATGTATAACAGCCCTGTGTGTAAAATGTATTAAAATGAGTATAATTATGAATGCACTGAAAGTTTTATATAATTATTTAATTCAAGCCTTACATCCAATGGGATCCGTCATAAAACACCACACAATCACAAGTAGGGCCCAAATCCTTGAACATAGTGTTGGTCTCCATGTCCTTCAGGAAATCCACTCTTGATTTCAAGTCTTCACGAATTAGTTTCTCATCGAAAGTGTCATTTGAAGCCTCCGGGTGTTTGTCCACAAAGTCCCGGAGCTCTCGTACCGCCTCAGCTTTGATAGTGGTATGGGTCGGTACCAAATAGGTTTCCCTATACTCCCGGGCTATCCGAGTGCGCACTCCTTCCGGATATAATTCATATATATTTTTCATTCCGATGTGATATTTGCCCGAAGGGTTAACCCAATGGCCCGGTATCTAAAAATTAATAATTTATTATTTACTAATATTTTAAAATAATTTCTCAAACTTTGAGTTTAGTTCCGGTGAGTCCAGTGATGAATCCCTGTCCATCGGCCTCAACAACAGTACTGGTGTCCACATCACCGGCACCGGTAGCGTCCATCATATCTATGATTTTTGGTTTACCATCGCTTGTAGTCTATAAACAAAAATAGTTTTACTAAATGTAAATCAAACTTAATAAAATACCTGTAGTCCATCAGCACCGGGGTCAACTCCAGAGTCAAAGATTGCAATTTTAATCCCTCTGCCATCATATTCAGGGTATTTATCTATGAATGACTGGGCAGTGGTTTCCCGTTTCGGTAGTAATGCCCATAAAGGGAACGACTCATTGACTGCCGATGCGCTCATTATAAGTTACTGTATTTATTAAACTAATTTAATTCAATATTAATTTCGATATAATTATTAAAACTTTCAATTGAAATGAAAAGTATTTGTGGTAAGATAATTGAAGATATAATGTTTGTATTATTATAATTATATAACGTTTAAACGAAAACAAATGATTTATTTATTTAATATAAACATATCATATATTACTCCGTAATCTTGTAGTGACGACAAACCCATATATATTATATAACTATATTATAGTTATTCATAGTTAAAATAAAAGTCGTTCAAATATTATCACTATTTTGTATTTACAGTATATAGATTGCAAATTATATAAGTACTGTATTACAAAAAGTATATTATTATTTGTATAAGTTTAGTGAATATAATTTTTCAAAAATAAAGTTAAAGATAAAGTTGCACATTATTTTAGTAATGATTACAGCATGGTATTCATATTTAATAAAACTACACAATTGACTTTTGTCACAAAGAAAGAGTACGATTATTAAAGTTATATTCAAATTCTGATAATCTTGAGAAAACGTTCATGATCATTAAACCGTAAATATTTATTTATTACATAAATTTATTTTCATCACAGAGTATACAGTATAAAATTTATTAAATACTAAAATTAGTACTCAATATTAATTATTAATAACCACTAAAATGTCAAAATAGTCGGTAATCATTGGGAAACATAGCATTAGATATGCGATTGAAATGACTTTCCGCGTGAGTCCACTCCAAGCTCTTAAACGCCTGGATAACATAAAATTAATTAATAAGTGATCATAAAATTAACTAGCAAATTAATATACCTTAATAATCTTACGATACAACGAAATGCTAGGTTTGTCATCAAATTGTTTTGAGTATATTTTGAGTGCCCGGCCGTACTGTCGGTGCATTAAGGCATGCCTTTCAGTAAACATAATAACCTTTGGGTCGTAGGGATCGGCCACTAGTTTGCAAATATCTTTATACACATCATTCACATCCGATCGTGTAAACTGGGGAACACCTTCCACAGTAGTAGTGGTGTCAACAGCACCGGTATCATTACCACTGGGCAAAGATATGTCCCCTCCACTAGTTACTGGAGGTTTGTTTTGTGCATCGATGAGGTCACAAATGGCTATCCCTTTCTTCACCAGTACCTCCAAAACGGTAGACTTTTTTGTTTCCAAACTTTTTGTTAGAAATAAAATAAAATGTTTTTAATTTAAATTAATTTTAAACCAAATTACGGACTCTTTGAGCGCCTGTTTATTCTCATCATTTGACTCCTCTTTCTTTAGGATCACTTCAGATGTGATTAAATGATTAATTTGACACAAATCTAAGACATCGTTAGCCAAACATATTTGTCGAGACAAGTGTTGCGAGCGCTGGGAGTCTGAGTCCAGTGCCTGTATTCGCGCCAATAATAGCTTAACATTTGTTTTATCGGTTTCGCGTAATTCATTGAACAGGTCTTCCGATGCCTTTCCCTTCAACCTTATAGACAATAAAATATAATTCATACAAAAGAGTGACTCAATTAACAGAATATTCTGTTACTTCGAAACCCAACTAATCTTCAGATCACTGACAGCTGTATTGAATTGATTTTCCTGTGATATCTTTGACTCGTTTTCATCCACTTTTGTGACATTACATTCACTTTTTAGTTTGGACTGACTATCGATAATATACGTGAAGTCAAAATATTCAGCGACTCTTCTGGTGCTATCGTCAGCCAAATCCATACGACCCGTGAAATACGCGCCGTTACTGATAGGTATGTCCGGCGGGTACGACACCATCCCTCGTATGAATATAGGCATTGGTGTGTCCGGTCGGAGGGGTTGCTTATAATATAGACGTCGGGCGCTGTTATCGGTTATAGCCTTTGCGTAGGTATCGTATAAATTAAATGACTTGTTTACAGTGTATTGTATGCGAACCGGTTGTTGACATAACCTTTCCCATTGGGAACTCATTGTGTGCTTTATTTGCACTTTTATTATGTAATCACCTTTTTCTAGTCGTATCTATTATTTAGTTTGTAAATAAATCATATGATATCTATTTTTAAAAATAAGCTAGTTTAAAATATTTACTTTAAAGGGCCAGTCCACACCTGCACCGATATATTGTTTGGTACTCGTGTTGAATATCAGCCACAATAATGAAGTATATTTAGGTCCATACGTCAGGTCGCAAAGAAATGAGCGAGTACATATATATACATCCTGACCCTTTGTCTAAGTGGACATTGATTTAAAATATAAAATACAAAACTAAATTCATAGAGAGTACAATAATTTATACAAACGCTATCATTACAAACCATTTTCAGATTATAAGTCAACATAATTTCGTATAACTGTTGAGCGGGTGGTATAACATCACGACTGTCTAGTGGGCGCACTTTATGCTCAATTGGCCTGGGTTAATATATACAAATTAATATGCATATAAATTGTGTCAAATATTATTATACATCAGAAGTTGTACAAAACGGTTAACCGAAATGGCGGGCCTAATGTCCTCGACATCGATATTACATTGAATATCAATTCTGGCGACCATTTCGCTGGAAAACTAATTTTCATAATTAGTTAACTAATCATTTGTTTAGTAATTCTTTGCAAACCATTGTGAGTGAGTTGAGTGAGGGTTGGAGTCCGTGAAACGTGATATATAATTGGATCCGTTTATCGCCTGAAGATAACGATTTCTGTCCGAAACACACTTCCAGTGTTCGCGAGGTTTTCAATTCAAATGCATATTTGGTCTCAGTTTGAGCTCTCAATGAAAAGCTTTTATCCATTTTGTGGCTCCAGATTGAGTTAAGTGGCCTCACCTGTAATGCCTGCAAAATACACTGTATCTGATCCATGGGCTCGCAGTTCTTCACGCGAACCACCATTGAGTTGACATTTTGCGGGATATCAATGAATTGTCTCCAAATATCACCCGGCTTATACATCCGATCACTTTCTATAGTTCTTGTTTCCGGCATTCTTTGCGAGTATATTACAAATTAAACACAAATATATAAAAATTAATTAAATATTACAATCAACACATCATTACTTCATAGGCTTTATGACTGTAATGGGAATTTGAAATACCGGCCCCTTTTCCACACAGTTTACATCATAGGCTTTAATCTATTATTAAGTTTACGCATAACTCATTAATGAATAATAAATATTTTAAAAATACCATGGCAAAGTTGACACTACCCTCTTGGAGAGGTCGAGGGTCTACCCTAATGGTGACCTCCCTTGTTGTGTAAGTCATGTGCAAATACTCCGCACAAGTAATCCACTCGTTATCGCAAATAAGTCTTAAATTGATCTCAAAATCTACTTTTCGTTTATTATCTAAAATAAGCTCAAAATTAAAAAATTAAAACTTATAATACTAAACAAAATACCGATTTGTTTGTTATTCAAGAAAATGGGTTCAATTTTGATGACATGAAGGGATGGGTTCATTACATCGACGGCTTCTCTCAGATAAACACTTAATCCCTGTCCACAGGTTATGTGAAAACGGACGTCCATTTCCAATGAATCCTTATAGTGAATCAAGTGGTCAAACGATTTTTCAACCTGCTCGTTAAAATTAACTATTGTATTATTTTATAAAACTATGTTAACAGTGACCTGGATCAGTCCGTGTCCATGGGTAAGGGGATCGAAGTTTTCAATTTTAAGGGCAGTGTTTTCAATAGCCCGGCGCACGTTATACGGCGAGTACTTAACATTCAATGCCTTGAGACCCGATAATAAGAGACACAGACATCCGGCACAGTTTGGACCACTCATTGACGTCCCGTCCTTTAACTGGGCTCCCATTAGTTCACACGTTGGCACCGATGTTATGGCGCCTCCCGGTGCGCATACCGTTACACCTAAATCACCTGTCAAACTATTGTTTTAAAAAATCTAGTTAATCTTTTAATAGACCAATTGAATAGTACATACTTTGGACCCCGGGATGTCCAGACATACATAATCCCTGGTATTTGTTTATTCAGCGAATAGGCGGTTGTCATCATATCGGGGGAGACGTAGGCGCCGACACTTATAAACGATTGCGAGTGTACTGTCCTTATCATGCTTACGGTGGACAGGGAGGGCCCTGAGTTACCGGCTGATTTAACGCACAAAATGCCGTATTTGTTGACCACTTCACTCATGAAGTCGAAAACTGGTCTAAAAATGATTTTAATATTTTTAATCAATAAGTGATAAAACTATTTGTAAATGATGTGTAGGTGTCTTAGAGGGACTAACCCATCGAAGTAGTGTCTGGACACGTCATAACTCATATTAATGACATGACATCCAGTTTCGATAACCTTGTTAAGTGCTCTGAAATACATAATATATTGATATATTTAATAATTTAAATGGTTGTGCCGTTTGTTGAGACTTATATAGACCTGACAAAAGTGGATCCATTGCTGTGTTTATATCGCTTATCGATGACACATATGCCGACGATCTGAGCACCCGGTGCCACACCGTTCCTATGGGGCTCATTGGGAAAGTTAGCCGCGGCTATACTGGCCACGTGTGTGCCGTGAGATGCTATATTAAATAGTTTGACAATGTATTAATGAAATAACCTGATCATTTATTTGTTGTTTATAGTTTTACAGCTCATTGTCACGATTTCCAATAGGTTTCCCTCGTTATGGATATTTATGCCATAGTTTAGCATATCTATGGAAATCAAATAATGTCTATTACAATAATTAGCAAATGTTAGAAAAGTTTTCACCCCTTTCTGAATAAGTTCCGTATTTAAGGCATTCCCTATAATTGCCTAATAGTAGGCAGTCTTCTAGATTACCGGTGCTACTCGTATTGATAACAGCCCTGTATATAAAAATATGAAATAATCTAAATTAATGCGTTAATGCTATTCAATGGCTTACTTCCAATGGGATCCGTCATAAAACACCACACAATCACAAGTAGGACCCAAATCCTTATATTTAGTGTTCATTTCCTTCAGTGAATCCACGAGTGATTTCAAGTCTTCACGAATCAGTTTCTCATCGAAAGTGTCATTTGAATCCTCCGGATGTTTGTCCTCAAAGTCCCGGAGCTCTCGCATTGCTTCGGCTGTAATAGTCTTATGATTTGGTTCCCATTGGGTTTCCCTATACTCCCGGGCCATCCGAGTGCGCACTCCTTCCGGATATAATTCATACATATTTTTCATTCCGATGTGATATTTGCCCGAAGGGTTCACCCAATGGCCCGGTATCTAAAAAGTAATTATTTATTATTTTATAATATTTTTAAATAATTTCTAAAACTTTGAGTTTAGTTCCCATGAGTCCAGTGATGAATCCCTGTCCATCGGCCTCAACCACAGTACTGGTGTCCACATCACCGGCACCGGTAGCGTCCATCATATCTATGATTTTTGGTTTACCATCGCTTGTGATCTATAAATAAAGTGTTTTTATAACTCAATTAAATATTAATAAAATACCTGTAGACCACCAGCACCGGGATCCACTCCAGTATCGAGGATTGCAATTTTAATACCCCTGCCGTCATATTCAGGGTATTTATCTATGAATGACTGGGCAGTGGTTTCCCTTTTAGGTAGTAATGCCCACAACCGGTAGGACTCATTGACAGCCGATGCTCTCATAATAAGTAATATTAAACAAATTAAATATAATTAATTTTTTAAAAGTATTTTCAACCTGTTTGTGATATTATATAACAAAAACTTTAGTGTTTTATAATGAATATATGTTTTTTTATTATGATATTATCTTTTAATAGAAAGCGAATGATTTATTTATTTAATATAAATATTAAATAATGTTATAATCTTATTGCTATGCAAAGCATAAGATATTATAATAATATCAATATTTTTATTTATATAGATTACAAATAAAATAAATATTACACAAATTATTTAGTTTTAAGTTATATAACACTTATACTGCTATTCAATAGGAATTATTATATAAGCTTAAGTACTTATAATGTAATCTATGATAAATAATCAAAATACACTTTTATTTTTGAATAGCATTTATAAACTTTTAAAAAATAATAAAATAAAATAAATATAGTATTTTAGTATTTATAATTTAGTATTTGTTACAAGATAATTAACAAAAAATTTATAATCATTTTTTCTAAATATTTGCGATAATTGAAACATTTTAATCATTTTCTTATTGATCTTAACATTACTCGTAAAGGTTTTATTGAAATCATTGATGACATCAATTGTGGGCCTATTATCCAGATTTTCATATAACATACGACTTATAAAGTTTTCAATGCCTTCAGTATTTACTCCCAAATCATTTAAAACATGTTTTCTATAAAATAACATAAAAATTAAAACACAAATCAATTATAAATAAAACTATTTTACACTTACTTTTGACACAAAACCGATTCAAACAACTGATTCACAATACTTCCGATATCTTTAATATCGCTATTATTAAGTCTATTTTTAGTACATTTATGACAATAAATATAAGGTCCAGGGTAAAAAAGTCTAATAAATCTGCCATTCCTTACATAGTGTGCCACAGGTATTAGCTCCGGGACCAATTTAGAGTGAATTATTACATGTGAATCCAATTCATGTAAATGTTTGACACATTCTAACAACTCTTTCACTAATTCACACGATATGTAAAAATCAATGCAAATCATTGTTAATGAGTTTTGCTTGCTAAATATTTCGGACTTTTTGCTAATTATATCACTTAATGTTTGCGAGCAATACTCCATTTGAATGTAAATATAATTGCTTTCAATCCACGCGTTATAGTATTGACACAAATACTCTGCATTTTCTTTCATTGTTTTGCGGAGTTTTTGCAAAAATCTCTGCATTTCTTTCAAATCGGCTGTAAAAGTGTAGAAAATGATTTAATTTAACAAAATGTCTAACAAGTAAGTTAGTAATTAAAGTACCCAGTACACCAAACTTTAGTATTGAATACATTTGTTTATTAGTCGTATGTTTAGCGGTAAATAATATATGACAATACGTTTCATTCATATCATTCATGGATTCAAATGAAGTTTCTGTTAATAAATCCAATGAACAATTTTCTAGTAAATTAGACAATAGATTACAATTATTATTAAAATATTTGTTTTCATATATAAAAACCTTTTATTAATTCCTTTAGGGATAGCCCTATCATGCAAATGGGTTGACTCTGGATATACTTTTCATAAAAATATTGATATTTACATTGAATAACAGTATTAAACAATAGTAAATCATTGTCATTAATAAGCTTAGCTTGTTTAATAAATAACTTCTCAAATTGCGATAATAATAGCTCGCAATCAATAAAATCACCATTTAAACATTGCCCCATTGAAACCAGTAATCTAACTACATTTTGTATTGAACAAGGTAAATCATTATGATTATCCATAGACTCCT